CTGCTTGTTCTAGACTTGAATGATGCCTGTTTTATAGTGCATGTCCACTGATATAACATGTCATGGTTTAGCATGAATACATGTTTTTTGTTTGTTTGTTTATTGTTTAATGCCACACTCAGCAATATTACATCTATATGACAGCGGTCTGTAAATAACCCAGTCTGGACCAGACAATCCAGTGATTGACATAATGAGCATCGATCTACGCAATTGGGATATGATGACATGCATCAACCAAGTCAGCAAGCCTGACCACCCAATCCCGTTAGTCGCCTCTTATGACAAGCATAGTCTTCTTTTACAGCAGGCATGGGTTGCCGAAGACCTATTCTACTCCAGATCTTCATGGGTCTTAGCATGAACACCCAACTTAGACACAGCACCAGGCAGGGTAACAACAAGTTATATTTTAACATCTTTTGATAGGATCAAACCATCAATCTTGCACTCTCCAGGCTGATGCTCTACCCACAAGACCACAGAGTTCATCCTCCACTGTTACGAACTATATGAACAGATAGCTATGTTGCCTGTGAAGGGCAGACTGTGTGGCCGAGACGGAGGAATGTGCACTGACTTGACCTCCTACCTGATCCACATGGTCACTAGAGCAATGAGCAGTGTGTTGTGTAAGCTGGGGAGATTAGGGAGAACAGTGTCTGAACTACACTACTCTGTACCAGAAACTTTTGAGTCTACTAGCCAAGTCTTCTATCTTTGAATTATTTTCACTGGGTTTCAGATTCATATACACTGACACGGGTTTGTTTGATTGCTTATTTGCACTAAGCACCATTCAGCACTATTCCAGCTATATGACAGCGGCCTGTAAATAATCAAGTCGGGACCACAAAATCCAGTAATAGATATTGTAAGTAATAATCTGATGACATGCATTCAACTAAGTCTGACCACTTGATCCATTTGGTTGCCATCATAGTGAGTGAGTTGGGTTTTAACGCCGCTTTTAACAGTATTCCTGTTATATCGCAGCGTCTCAGCTTAATGTGGGAGGAAAGCCCGAAGTGATGCAGGTCTCAGACGTTTACCACTTCGGTGAAACCCACGAGCACAGGTATGGTGCTGACAAACCTAGAAACATAATCAGGGCGAAACAGGATTCGACCCAACAATCATAGGTTTCTGGCGTGCCCAAGGGACGCAACTCTGTACAGCGAATCATGGCGCTTTAGATGACTGGGACCCCCGTGCCCCCGGTTGCCATCATAGGTTGGTGGGGGCCTAGTCTAACCCACAAACCCCAAGGGGTCACTGACCCAGGACTAGTATCAGCTGATCTCACAGTAGGTTTTCTCCATGGCAGTACTGAATGATGTATAGTAATTCTAGCCATATAAGAGGTAATTAAGTCTAGATAAGCGGACAGTACAGTCTAAGGATGCCAGACTTTTATAGGGACAACTTGTTCTTATTGTTCATATAATCTAGAAACTATGATTTCACTAATAATTATTGCATTAGAGACTTGTGCAAGGGTAGTCTCACTGGACGGAAAGAAGTTTGACTTGACACAAGTTTCAAAAATAGAAGCTCTCGAAAAGTTAAATACAGCAAAGATCTCAACAAGGTGGCAGTTTGCAAAACAAGACTTGTCTGCCCGTCAGACACTGCATTTCGGTCAACCGTCATGCACTGAGAGGTCCAACAAGCTAGTTTCGTACTGATTATACCCTGTGGACACCAATCTAAATTGTGGCTGCTTCTGTCTGTATACTGCACAGCAGGGAGTGCTGTACGCACTAACTAGAAAACCTTATCATTTGCCTAAAACTAAAAGGATCCCTGTTCACAAAAGTCCTTTTCTCATATTATGGTGTATAATAACAACAATTTAAATGGACTTAATCAGCTGAATATAGTTATACATCTACAGGCCAAGTTTAAAATCAGTCACAATCTTCAGTCATTCTAACTTGCCTGTGTACATAATTACACACGATAACGCACGATACTGATGCATTAACAAATATCAACAACGTTCCTCTTCCATCCTAAAATAAAGTTGTACTTAAACAAGAGTCATCAGAAAGATGACATATCCCCCCGGCAGCTGTCTGTAAAGTAACCACTAGTAAATGTGCAATTCTGTATGTAATGAGTCAACAGTTGAATGTTCTTTAAGAGGCATACATTGTTTACCCACTGAATGGTTTTCGAATTCTGCCCCGGAAACGAACCCCATCCCCAATTGAGTCTATGTCCAACTTCATTCCATAAAAATTGAAAAAAATAAAAAAATTAGAAAAATCCCAAAATATCAAAAGGCACCAATTCAGTATGTGTCTGATAGATTTGCCAAGTCTCGATCAAATACACTGAATGGTTTTGGAATTCTGCCCCGAAAAGGAAATGATTACGGACGGACAGACGGTCAGACGGACGGACAGACAGACTGGCTGATCGCTCTATCTCCCCGCATTATATGCCGGGGGGATAAAAATACATCATTCAAAAGAAATCACCAGTTACACTTCACATCTTAAGTGTTTAAATTAAATTTATAAAAAGATAAAGCATCTCAAGGATTAATTGTTTGATAGGCATTACGTAGAAGTTGACAGATGAGAAAGTAGACACAACGGTATAAGGATCTATACCGAAACGTCGCCTTTACAGTATTAAAGAAGTAGTTATCCATAAATTGTGTCTACTTTATCGCAAGGATTGATGATTCCATTCAAATTTCCACTCTGCAGAGTTAGCTGGGAATGAATGGGCCCTGACTGCTCATCAGGCAACCCCAGGCAACTTGAAGGGTGTTTATTCATTCACCATGTTCCCTGTTAGCAACTTTCTCATATCATATAAACAATGGGAAATTGGATTTCTCCACAAAGTGTTCACTAAAATAAACACCCCATACATCTCAAGCATCATTACTCTTGGAAGTTACTTTAATTTAAGTTACAGCAGTATCACGAGGGTATATGTGGTTTAATGCGTCCTGCGTTTATACCCTGAGCTGGAGGTGGTGAGTGGTATAAAACCTAACGAGGGATGCATAAAACTATATTTACCTTGAATGATACTGCTACAACAAATTTATCTTGCTGACATGCATTAACCTGCCATTGTAAAAGAATTAAAACAAATTGAAAATTGATAGAAAACAGCTGTTTGATTGCGCCAAGGTTAACTTGTGCTGTGACACTGACTTTCAGTGACTTGTAAGCAAGGTGCAGCTTTTTGCTTTAAAGTAGGGTATATGGGATTTATTCTCCCGCTCAGAAATCTACATGTAGCCTGTTTTCTTCATGGTGGGGCATAAATAACTTATTCTCCAACTGACAAAAATTATTTCCTTCCCAGGCAGAATACGTTGTATTTTATCAAAATCATGTAAACCAATCAGATCTCCACAAACGATAGAACTATTAGTCATATCTCCGATACTTTAACATAGAAATAAAATTGTTGTAGCTCCTATTCTTTCCAAAACCTATTGCAGTCATATCTTCTATACGTTTACATAGCCCAACGACAGTCGTAACTCCCAATACTTAAACACAGAACTAACTTAGTCGTATCTCTACGTTTTAACATTGGCCATATGATACCATCTCAAATATAAACATTAATGAAATGTTATTCACAGTTCAGCAGAATATGTCAGCTTAGCATTCACATCACATTGTCATTATGAGATTAGACAGACCATATTGAAGTTCTATGAGGGAGTGTGGTCTGAGGCTGCTTTGAAAATAATCTCATGTCACGTGTCACAGATCAGTTAGGCAAACAAACAAACAAACAAACAAACAAACATGTCTTCTATGAACAAACAAAACGTTTGTTTGCAAGAACAAAGAATCTGGTTTGGTTTTTTTCTTGAATGTCTGAGTGACTTACGATCACCAATGTCTAAAACAATATCCGCATAATGTTGGAGAAAGCCTTTCACAAAAGCTCAAAAAGACATTTACAGCTTTGTTTCTGACAGTCCAGTGATCTTAACAAGATGAATCTAATATTGAAACACATGACAAGCAGATCCTGGCATGACTAAGAGACACAACTCCGCACTTAGATTACAGCAACCCAGACCACTCCCCCATACAGCCTTGAAACTAAATACAGATTAACTTGAGAAAGTTCCAAGGTAGCTCCTGCAAGGTCATGAACTCTGCCAAACAACCCTCTCCAGAATCTGTCCCCTGATCCGGTCCTGGGCGGGTTGAGAAGGAATTAACAGCCAAGTGCTGCAGATCACAGCATCTCAAGCCCTTACCAAACAGGTGAAGCCAGTTAATGCTGGACTGGGATACTGTCTGTTAGAAGAGAGTAAATACGCGGGTATTCCAGCCGTCTCTACTAAATGATATCCAAGCTGTTAACCCTGTAATCCTGTGCTAGAGCGTCAACATGGCTGCCACCTTAATTAAAGCTATACCGACACTTTTCATGGATTTTGTGGTTAGGGAGCAATCCCTTTCTAGAGTGTCAATATTTGGACTCTAAAGTCAATAAATTCTTCATATTACTTTCACGATCTGTGCCAGTGGGGATGGATATTCAGAAATAAAATGTTACACTTACCATTAGTCATTTAGAATAACCAAGAACAGTTACAGAAGCTTCTGAATGGATCACAGAGGGAGAGATGAGAAACAACTCATTCTTGGTTGGGTGAGCTTCAGGACTTATTCTCTGGGTTTTTGATAGTTTTTTTGTTGTTTGTTGCACAACGTCACATTCAGCAATAATGAGCCATATGACAGTGGCCTGCAGTGAGTGAGTGAGTTTGGTTTTATGCCGCTTTTAGCAATATTCCAGCAATATCACGGCGGGGGACACCAGAAATGGGCTTCACACATTGTACACGTCGGTATTCGAACCCGGGTCTTTCGGCGTGACGAGCGAACACTTTAACCACTAGGCTACCCAACCGCCCCAGTGGCCTGGAATTGAGGCCAAATTTTCTATGGGTGTTGAAAAAGATCATTTAAATTGTTTCATTACAACGAAGCCAAACTTACCTTTCTTAACTTTCTTCTGTAACCTGACTGTATCTGAAGCTGCCTTCTTTATTTCTTGTCTGGCTTTCTTATATTCTGCAACACACAAACATCATCCTTCATATTTTAGCTCAACAACAACAACAACAACAAACAAACATTACCCGTCTCCATATTCAAAGCTGGATGAACAGGAAGCGGGCGAAGCCGAGTATTGTTGAGCCAAATGCCCCCATTGGTATGACAAACAAGAGTTACCTACCCTTAGCGTGATCCTTGTCGAGCTGAGCCACGACCTTCTTCCACTCTTCCAGCTTGTCCTGAATTGGGGCGACCAGGGTGTCCAGCATGCATCTACAGAGGGAAAAATACCAGAATATAATATTTAACCAGTATCTTTAGATAACTACACATATCTTTTCTCACACTTTATCACTGTCTACACGGCCATTGTATATCTGGATTATTGCTGAATGTGGCATTACTTTCATTGTCTACACATCATTTCAAAATGTCAGTCTATTTCCATTGTTGAGCGAGTGAGTGAGTGAGTGAGTGAGTGAGTGAGATTTTACCCATGTCGGAAATCGAATCCAGGTCTTAGGCGTGATGAGCAAAAGCTTTAACCACCAGGCTACCTTGTTGGTTGTTGGTTTGTTGTTTAACGCCGCACTCAGCAATATTCCAGCTATATGTCGGCGGTCTGTAAATAAACGCGTCTGGACCAGACAATCCAGTGATTCATATCATGAGCATCGATCTACGCAATTGGGATGGATGACATGCATCAACCAAGTCAGCGAGCTTGACCACCCGATCCTGTTAGTCGCCTTTTACGACAAGCATAGTCGCCTTTTACGGCAAGTATGGGTTGCTGAAGACCTATTCTGCCCCAGGATCTTCACGGGTCACTAGGCTACCTGACCGCCCCACAGTGTGAATGAGTTTGCTTTAACAAAGCTTTGAACAGTATTCCAGTTATATTACAGCCTGTCAGCTTAATGTGGGAGGAAAGCCCAAAGTGATGCATGTCTAAGAAGTTTTACACTTCGGTGAAAACCAGGAGCAGGGGTATAGTGCTGCCAGACCAAGGACACTCATGTTGAATCTGGTATTCGAACCTATGTTTATAGGATCCTGTCATGCCAAAGGGACACAATTGCAGAGTCAATTGAGGCACCATAGCCCACTGGTGTCCCCCAATCCCAAGCAACTGTAATACTGTTAGATAACAAGATCAACAACTACAATCTAGTTAGTTGTTTAACGCCGCACTCAGCAATAGTCCAGCTATATGAGGGTGGTCTGTAAATAATCAAGTCTTGTCAAGACAATCCAGTGATTGACATCATGAGCATCGATCTATGCAATTGGGATACAATGACAAGCATCACCGATCCTGACCACCTGATCACGTTAGTCGCCTCTTACGACAAGCATAGTCACCTCTTACGACAAGCATAGTCGCCTCTTACGGCAAGCATGGGTTGCTGAAGACCTATTCTAACCCAGATCTACACGGGTTCAATCTAGGTACTATCCATCCGCCCAAGTTGGTCATCAGTTGGTAGACTTTCGGGGCAGATCCTGTCATGCCTCAAGGGTAGACAAATGAGAATCAGGCAGTTACAATGTGCCACTGGCTCACTGTGTGTCACTGAACCCTGCCATCAATCACTGGTGTGCTAGTCCACACCTGATAACTTACAGATTGCTGTGATATAGCAAGCACTGAACACTCACTCGCCTTCTCATACGCCCACCAACTACGTTAACCCCACCCACTCACCCCAAACTTCCCTCACCAATTCATTCATTCACTTTCTCCTCCTCTTACTCCCAGCATTGTACTCAATGCAGCATGACTAAATTTGGGAGAAAAATACACCTCCGCCATCCGACCCCATCAAAACACTCACTCACCAAGGGTTAACAACGTAACGTAAACCAAAACTATTAACAGCTCATTAAGACTTGTACTTGATGCAACATGACTAGATTTGGGAGAAAAATACACCTCCCCATCAAAACACTCACTCACCAAGGGTTAACACCGGAACGTAAACCAAAACTATCAACAGCTCATTAAGATTTGTACTTGACTCCACATGACAAGATTTGGGAGAGGACAAAAAGAACATGCACATTTTCACTAGATTCAGTGAATTGTTTGACTGGCATTACTTAGAAGTTGACGGTTGACAAAGTAGACACAATTTATGGACAACAACTTCTTTAATTACTGTTAAGGCAATGTTTCGGTATAGATCCTTATACCGTTGTCAAGCAAGACTGAACACTAGATTCAGTGAATTGTTTGATTGGCATTACTTAGAAGTTGACGGATGACAAAGTAGACACAATTTGCTTGACAATGGTGTAAGGATCTATACACCTTTACAGTCATTTAAGAACTTGTTGTCCATAAATTGTGTCTACTTTGTCAGTAGTTTCAGGTCAAGCGGACTCGTGACTGGGTCAGTGGATCACTCAGTGTTGATCATTCTTCCAAGTCCTTTCCCTGATCAATTGCACGGGATCCTCTACCTTTCCCATAAATCTTTAATATCCTATCAATGTTGAAGTAGCACTCTTACCCTGTGAATGACTTGAGTTTGCTTTCTATACTCCGGTGCCTCATGCAGAGTCGTGTGAGAGCTGATCCAATCTCCTTTGTGGCTCCTGCAAAACAAAGAATAATCTTTAGCAAATTTGAACAATAAAAATACTGGCACAGAGACAAAAGAATATACCAACATGTTGATTTAACCATTCAACAGACTGTCAGGTCCTTTTTTGGATCTGGGGCAAACATCTGCAGGTTTGTCAACAGAAAGCATGTTGAGATCCCAGCTGTTTTTTCAATAGTCTTCAATCACTCCGGATCATGTGGATCCTGAACTACACATAATAGTTGTCAGCAAACACTATTTAATATCACAATTCAAACTGATTAAATAACAACATTGACGCAATTCTGGGCGATTGGATTCCAAAGGCTGAAAACAAAAACAGGCAGTTATTTCATCAGTTGATTATTGTTTTATTTTGTGAGGAAACAGAGCCCTTCACTGCACGCATTCAGTCAATAGAGGAGACTATCTGCATTGACCAATCACGTCCTGTCTTTGTCCTACAGATCAATGGCTGGGCCTTACATAATCCAGAACAAAAATTTATTCAATTACAATTGATTAAATGTCTACACTAATAGATCTGTATGTCTAATCAATACTTGAGACACAACCAACATTTACTTAATAAGTTAAAAAATACTTCTTTCAAATGCGCTTACGGAAGCCATCGATTGACCAAAAAAGGCTGAAGATCTAAGAGACGCCTGACCAGAATATGTCACCACAGAATTCCCTATCTGCACAGCATGCCAGTGATATAAATACGAGTTTCTACCTATGTGTAGGAAAACCTGTGCATCAAAAATGGTATAATAATGTACTCTTTAGATTAAGCAGCAATTGAATGAGGTGAGGTGAAGTGGGGTTTAATGTCGGGTTGTACTAGTCTGGGCCCGTGCCACAAAGTGATCTTAGCGCTAAGATGATCGTAACAACACAGCCTTATGACAATCATAGCACAAAGGTCGCTTTGTGGATCGACCCCCAGGACTAATGCCCCAGGGGCCAGGACTAAGATGATCGTAACAACACAGCCTTACGACAATCATAGCACTAAGATCGCTTTGTGGATCGAGCCCCAGGACTAATGCCGCTTTCATAGTGCTAGCCCACTGAGATACCATGCTGCAGCTTAACATGGATCACACAATACCGTCTCGCAGCCAGTCCTTGTTTTATCCTGAAATGCCGAGTGCAAGACAGGGTAATAAGAAGTATCTTTTAACTTCTTTTGGTATGATAAACCTGGGGATCTCTGGGCAAATGCCCTATCCACTCAACTATGGTTGGTTGGTTTGTTGTTTAATGCCGCACTCAGCAATATTCCAGCTATATGACGGCGGTCTGTAAATAATCGAGTCTGGACCAGACAATCCAGTAATATCATGAGCATTGATCCTCGCAACTGGGATCATTGACATGCATCAACCAAGTCAGCGAGCCTGACCACCCGATCCCGTTAGTCGCCTTTTACGGCAAGCATGGGTTGCTGAAGACCTATTCTACCCCGGAATCTTCACGGGTCCACTCGACTATGGAGGCGGTCGGATATTGGAATCAGCCCTCAGTGTATTAGCCTACCTTTAAATGACAAATAAGTGCCGCCATACTTAAGATCATGACTTGAATATCTATAGTGAAGCACAACAATTTTACACTTGGCGCATGAACACAAAGCAACGGTGCAGCTTAAAAAACCCGGAGAAACAACTTTAATCAGGTTTCGGGATTAGGGTCTGTAGGGAAACAATTTTGTAATTTTCTTTTTTGGGCCTTGTACCATCTGTTCCATAGTATTGGGAACAAGTCAGGTGAAAACTTCCACAACCAACATTAGCAGACATATTACCATGTTCGTATAAACAACACAGGATACATTTCCACAACCCTGCTTGCACCGAACATGAGATCCCCTTCCAACTTTCAAGGCTTGTGAACAGCATAGAGACAGACATTACATTTCCCTCACAACTGACTACAATAAGCTGCAAGCAATTGGTCCCAGTGAGCAGCTAAGTGTGAAATAGGTGTTAAATTACATCTACTTCTTGTCTGTTGTTCCTGAATGTCAAATGTATTTTAGAAGGTAAACCCGAGCAAAAGAATGTGGAGTGCATGTTCTCGTTAAGATTGTGCCACTGATAGCATTGAGCACTTGTCTCAAGGAACATAGTTTATTATGGGTGTTTGGCACATTACCCTGAGTAGGTGTGCAATTCTACACAAGTAATGAAGAATGTTTCCACATTACAGACAATGAACAAACATTTGTAGATAGAATCTACTCATTTGACTGAAGAATCACATGTTCTAAAGGATCGGGGTACTTTTGTGCTCTTATTACAACAATGGATGTGATATTTGTGGTGTGTTTGAACCACATTACACCACAAACACCTGTTATTTGATTGATATATCTATTACTACCTCTATTGCTTATTAGGGAAGGCGAACAATTTGTTTCCAAAATGAAAATATACAAAGAATTTGTATTGTTAAAGCGTCTTCTAGCATCATATAACAGAAAGGAGTCCAGAGAATCCTTTCAACAGAACTGAAGAAACCTATCCTTCCAAAGTATCGTAGACTTGCTTGGGAGTTTCAGAAATTGTAGGTTTTAGGGTCAAAATGAGAGACTAAATCAGGCCCAGTGTTAGAAAGTGGCTCTAGTCCTATAGTCCTTGCCACACTGCCAAATAGTTAAGGTATCATAAGGACTAGCAGAAATTTGCCATTTTTGAGGGTTTTGCTATTTGTCATCATAATAAGGACCAGTGGACTAAAAATGTTAGTTTCTATCGCTGCGGGCCTATCAAGGAATGTTGTGACAGAAACACACAGGAACTTGAGTACAATGAACGTTGCATGTAGAGGAGTTCCAGTCTTTAACTCTTTCATCCCTGGCTGCCCCAGAGTTATGTTCCTTGAAACCCTGCAGTCCCTGACACTAACAGGGCCTGCACACTGGCCTCCCTGGCAGTATTATTGGAAAATCACACTATCATTTTTGATGCACTTTTTCTACCAGAAACTTGCTTTTGATATACATTTTTCATATACCATTGTAAAGAGGATTAAGTATACTGTAATATTCTTTGTTGTTATTGTCTCTAACCTTTGTTATTTTCTAATTACAGGTGTTTACAAGTGAAATAAAACTTGAAAACACTGAAAAAATGAAAACAGACAATGAATTTTGGCTCAAATTGTATTAAAAATCATAAACACCAGCTTTCTGGACACCAGTGCAAACTGTAACATATCTTAAATTCTGTATGTATCACAAATCCCAGCCTGTCGACATCTTTCTTGTCACATGATACATTTCAAGCTGAAACCACCTACATGAAGGCAACACTATCACCAAACAGTGACAGTCCTACAAGACAGTGCAAACACCCGAGACATCATGAATACCTAAACAGCCGACCTTCGACCTCCATCTGACCAATATCAAACACAGACACAATGGAAGCTCACCCGGGCTCCTCGTTAACAAACCCAGCATACGATAGCGTATCTTTTACCTGTGCTATCAAACACACCTATCTATTTACCTGCTGGTTTATGTCTGTACACTGGTGATCAATGCACACCTGGTTAGTGTCAATACAGGTAAGCCACAGCTCGTTAACAGGTAACGGCGCACTTCATAGGGGGTAATTCTCTATAGGCTCAACTGGAGGTTTCAAATGAAAGGGGAGATAACTGAGGATATGCACATGTTTGATGGACAGATTGCTATGGATTTTCTTAACCAACACAGCAAATAAAACAGTATTTGCTTGCTTCCCATCTATTTTTAGCCTGTGGACTGAAGTCCTTCACAAAAACAAACAGAAACGCAAAATGTCTGCTGCAAGAATAATTTCTATATTTGTTTAAAGGTTAATCCACCAACTCGTCAGCACATTTCACATCAACCTCACAACATAACACAGCTTACACCCATCCCTTTTGCTCCAGTGTATGCAGTCTGAAATGTGTGTCGAAAGTATAAACTAGTTGTGAGGCAAGTATTCTCGTTGCCTTAACCCAAATGTAAACAGTCTTGTTTTTTTCATGCCCCTGACTGAGTTGAAAAAGAAGCCTCATTGAGAACAGATCAATTAGAATCCAACTGACCCAATCTTCGAGCCATTGACGATAAACTGTTTTCTCATTTTATCAACATGCATTGTGGCTTTTCTGTATTATATGGCGACACTTTTACTGGCATTTACTAACCCATGAAGATGAGGCTTAGAATAGGTCTTCATGCTTGTCGAAAGAGGCAACAAACAGGATTAGGTAGTCAGACTCGCTGACTTGGCATATGCATGTCATCTTATCCCAATTGCGTAGATTGATGCTCATGATGTCAATCACTGGATTGTCTGGTCCAGACTTGATTATTTACAGACAATCGTCATATAGATGGAATATTGCTGAGTGCGGCGTAAAACAACAAACAAAACTGGCATTAACCGACATACAACAAATTACCTTAAGGAGATAAAAATCTACCCTAGTTCAGAAACACATTTATTTATTTTTGGGCCTTAGCTATTTAAACTACAGGCCAGCACCACCGAGGTGAGGAGATTGCTGACCCCACCAGTCAAGCCCCACAGAAGGCATCCCTCAGGTGTGATTGTCTTACAAAGTTATCTACCTCCTTGTGATCACAGACAGGTGTAGCCTCCCCTCGTCACAGGTACGCCAGGTAAAGTAGTGGCGAACACCTGTTCCAACCAGGTGACCCTTCTTGTTGGGTCATCTGCGAACCCCAGGCTGTATGTCAACATTCTAGACTTGCTTACTTCACAGATAATGGAGAGAACTGTCTTTACCATATATTCAACAAGAGCGTGATATACATATATTAAACTACCCGTGAAGAGCCAGGTTAGAATAGGTCTTCAGCAACCCATGCTTGCCGTAAAGGCGACTATGCTTGTCGTAAAAGGCGACAAACGGGATCGGGTGGTCAGGCTCGCTGACATGGTTGATGCATGTCATCGTATCCCAACTGCATGGATTGATGCTCATGACATCAATCACTGG